GAGTTCGAGGCCAGCCTGGTCTACAGAGTGAGTTCAGGGACAGCCTCCAAAGCCACAGAGAAACCCTGTCTCGAAAAACCAAAAAAAAAAAAAAAAAAAAAGAAATATTGCCTAAAACAACAACAACAAAAACCTAACAGTAAAAAGTGGAACTCTTTTGTTTGTTTGAGACAGTGTATCCTGTTTTTCTATGTAGTCCCACATGTCCTGGAGCTCCCTACATAACAAGGTTAGCCTCAAACTCACAGAGATTCTCCTTTGCTGCCACCCATCCCCCATGCTGGAGGGTGCACACCTGGCTGTGAAATTCTTCATAATATAATTTTTCCAAAATTAAAGACGTATAACTGAGCCAAGACGGGTGATAGCATCATTCACTGAGTGGTGATAAAGAAATGCAGGGTTGGTGCTGGAGAAATGGCTCAGCAGTTAAGAGCTCTTGTTCTTGCAAAGGACCCCAGTTCAGGTCCCATCACCCGTGAAGTAGCTGACAACTGTCTGCAACTCTGATACCCTCTTCTGGCCTTTTTTAATACTAAGCATACACATGGTGTACATATATATACAGACAAAATAGTCATATATACAAAATGAAAACAAATCTTTTGAAAAGGAAATGGAAGGTAGTTTTTAAATTTGTTTTTTAATTTTTTTTAGATTCATTTTGTGTATGAGTATTTTGCCTGCATGTATGCATGTGCATTGTGGTGTGCAAAATTCCTACAGAGGTCAGCAGAGGGCATTTGATTCCCAGGAATTGGAGCTACAGATGACTGTGAGCCAGGTCCTGCACAAGAATTGCTCTTTCAATCACCGAGCATTCTCTGACTCTGGGTTTTGAGACAGGGTGTTGTTATGTAACCATAGCTAGCCTAAACTCACTGTGTAAACCAGGCAAGCCTTGAAATTGCAGGTGATCCTTCTGCCTCTGCCTTTGGGGTACTAGGATTATAGGAGTGTATTACCATGCCTAATGTTCTAGTTTGACTTCTGTTGCTGTGATAAAACATTTTATTTTTTTTTCTTTGGTTTTACAAGACAGGGTTTCTCTGTATTGTTTTGGAGGCTGTCAGTCCAGCCCAGCCTCAAACTCATAGAGATCTGCCTGCCTCTGCCTCCCGAGTGCTGGGATCAGAGGCGTGCGCCACCACCGCCCGGCTTTATTTTATTTTATTTTTGGTTTTACGAGACAGGGTTTCTCTGTATTGTTTTGGAGGCTGTCAGTCCAGCCCGGGTGATAAAACATTTTAACCAAAGCAACTTGCAGGAGGAAAGTGTTTATTTAGCTCTTCAAAGTGACAGACCTCTTTTTTTTGTGTGTGTGTGACAGGGTTTCTCTGTCCTGGCTTCCTGGAACTAGGTCTATAGACCAGGCTGGCCTCAAACTCAAAGAGATCTGCCTGCCTCTGCCTCCAGAGTGCTGGGTTAAAGGTGTGCGCCACCACTGCCTGACTTCTTTGTGTTTTTGTTTTTGTTTTTGAGACAAGGTCTCACTCTCTACTTTGGCTAGTTTCTAACTCACAGACATCCACCTGTCTCTGCCATCCAAAAGCTGTTAATTAGCTTTCTCATATAGGCCAAGACCACCTTCTTAGGGAATAGTGGCACCTACCATGGGCTGGACCCTCCTGCATAGATTAGCAATGAAGACAATTTCCCATAGACATGGACACAAGCAATGTCTATCTGAGAAACCTCAGCTGAGACTACCTTCTCAAGTGACTCCGGGCTGTGTCAAGTTGATGGTTAAAGACTAGAACACCCGACTAGACCTAAGTTCAATGAAAGAAAGTATTCCTTTTTTAAACTTGAAAAACGATGTGTCTCTGTGTGGTATGTGCACATGACACAGATGCCAGGGGAGGACAGGAGTATCAGATGCTCCTGGAGCTGGGATTACAGGCTGTTGTAAGCCACCAGGGTAGGCACTGGGAGCTGAACTTGACTCCTTTGCAAAAGCAGTACATTCTTAATTGTTGGGCATCTCCCCATCTTCATCATTTTTCTTAATTTTCTTTGTTAGTCTAGAGACTGGAATAGTTCCAGTGTTGGAATTTAATGTTCCTCAATAGAAAAAAATCTGATAGCTTACTGTGTGCAGGGCACAGTACTGTGTCCTGGGGATGCCTAAATGAACAACACTCATGATCTTATAGAGTCTGAGATTCTATCAGAGAATAACAGTATGTAATTAGAGACCTTAAAAGACTTATTTCCGCTAGGTCCTGGTGGTGCTCACCTTTAATCCCAGCACTCTACTCGAGAGGCAGAGCCAGGCCTATCTCTGTGGGTTCGAGGCCAGCCTGATCTACAGAGTGAGTTCCAGGACAGCCAGGGATACACAGAGAAACCCCTGCCTTGGAAAACAAAGCAAAACTGCCGGAGCCCAGCTCCAGCGGAGTTCAGGTCCCAAAGAGGAGGTGTGGAGTTGGTGAGGGAAGGAGACCGACAGGATCTGAGGGTGAATTAGGATGGCTGCCCGTTTACTGAAATGGGCACACTTCATATACTCTATAATTGCATCATAGTTTGAGCACAATCAATACTGAAGCAAACAATGATTCTGGGGCGAAAGTGGTCATCAAAGGCATTGCAGCATTCAGCATTTTTTTTGTGACGCAAAAACAGTAAGTTTAGGAAGAATCTAAATACCTCTTGTCCTGTAAGGTTTAGTAACCCCACAAGGTGCCCTTTTACACTTCCTCCTACGTGGGTGGTCTCAGCCTTTGTGGTCAAGAGGTGGTAGACATTGAGCCCTGAGAAACAAACCGGTAAGGGCGATTTTCATTCCTCAAGGGACTTGATGCAGCATTTGTACCATGTAGTACAACAAGCATCGTGGTGTTTCCTAGTTGTATTCCTTATTGCCTTAGTCTTATAATATGGGCCTGTTCCCTTCATAAGCTCTCAAAGGGAAGGTCCTGATAGCTTACTCCTTTTCCATTATACCGTACCATTCTGATTCTTTCAGTGTGTGCTTCTGTATATGGCAGAGGGGAATAAAGCCAGTCTAACTTCTTAACAGAATCTTCTCTCCATGGGGCATACGGATCTTGCCATATGTCCAGTAAGCCACTAATAGTGAACACTATTCTATACTTATTAACTGAACCCTTGCCCTAAATGGCCTCAGGCTCTGGATCTGCACCCACCATTTCTCTCTATAGTGTGATTTTCATCCCTGGTACCAGGTATTCTCAGTTAATAAATCTTTAACTTCTCTGTTCTTGGTGTAATTAGGGTGTGCATAATGGAGAGTCTTGTGTGGGAAGTAGGCAGAGTTACCATGCTATATAGTTCCACAGTGGCAGGGATTTTCTTGTCTGTATATTTTTTTATCCTTCGCCAAAGCTCACACAAAATTTCCTAAAGGAACAGGCATAAGGAAACTCCCATAGCCCATGGTGACAATCATTAAAAATGAATGTAAATAGGCTGGAGAGATGGCTCAATGGTTAAGAGCACTGGCTGCCCTTCCAGGGAACCAGGGTTCAACTCCCAGGACCCACATGGTAGCTCACCACTGTCTGTAACTCCAGTTCCAGAGGGTCTGACAACCTCAAATAGACATATATGTAGGCAAAGCACCAATGAACATTTTAAAAAAATCATAGAAAGTCAAAAGGTGCTGAAAAGTTGTGATTTGCAATGTCAAAATGCTAGAACTCCACCGGGCGTTGGTGGCGCACGCCTTTAATCCCAGCACTCAGGAGGCAGAGGCAGGTGGATCTCTGTGAGTTCGAGGCCAGCCTGGTCTACAAGAGCTAGTGCCAGGACAGCCTCCAAAGCCACAGAGAAACCCTGTCTCGAAAAACCAAAAAAAAAAAAAAAATCCCTTGGAACTGGAGTTACAGGCAGGTCTGAGCCATCTGAAGTGGGTGTTGGAATTCTAATTCTGGTCCTTATGAAGGAGCAGCAAGAGCTCTTAACCGCCAAACCATCTTGGCTTTTTAGGGTTTATGAGAGAAATACCAGGATAGATACTTGGGGTGGGTGCTCTCCTGAGGGGTGAAACCATGAGATAGGCTTCCGAGGAATACCTTTGTAGCAAAATGTTTGCGTGACCACATCTTTTTATTTCCTGGGAAGATTCTGTAAAAATGTGAACCCCAAACTGCTTATTTACAATTAAAATTGTTTTTGGATAGATTCACAACAAAATTTAGCTTAAAGTCAGAGTTCTCATATGCCTCGTGGGGGCCTTCTTTCCTTCTTCCCAAAGATCCGATGGTTTTTTTTTTTTTTTTTTTTTTTTTTGTTTTTTTGTCTGGTGCTGAGGATCCGGTCCCATCACCTCCCACATGCTGGGCAAGGCTCCATACATGCATTTTGGTCCACTTGATTTATATGAAGTTTTCGGGGGAGTATGCAAAGACACGGAAAACAAAAAAGCACTCTGATTTATTAAATCATGGTGAAATAGATTAAGGCACAGGTGTCAAAGTTAAAACTACGTTTCCCAGGGTGCAATGCAGCACGTCACAGAGAAGTATCGGGCATGCGCAAAGGAGTCCTCCGCGCTCGACCGCGCTCATAAGAGAAACAGCGTGTGTGGTTCTTGACGTGCCGCGAACCTTCGAACACAAGTGCGATACTCCCCTGTGAGGAAGCGTTCCAGCGACTCTCCTGTTCCCGCCATCGCAGTTACCAGCGCGACGTGCTTTTTCGCCCCAGACTCGGTAGGTGGGACGGGACCATGGCAAAGCACTTCCAAGCAGCGCGGGAACGAAGGGCCAGCGTTCCTGCCCGGCGCCCGGCTCGCTCAGGCGGCTTCGGAGGAGACGCGCAAGCGCCCTAGACGGGAAGGGGGCGGGGCTGTGGGTGCCTGCGCCCCGGCTCCCTGGGCCTGCGCGTGCGCCTTGCGTCCCTGGCGAGGTGGGAAGCCGCTGGAGCTGGTTTACCTTGGGGCAGGCACCTGGCTAGGGACTCGGCGTGAGAGTGGGCTCCAGACACCTGCACTTTTTGCTGCTTGTTCAAAGCTTATTGGTTTTTTTTTGAGACCGTCTCGCTCAGCCTGGCCTCGAGCTCGCAATCGTCCTGCCCCAGTCCCAAGTGCTGAAATTACAGACTTGAGCCACACATTCCCTAGAGGTGTCCATGTGTTTACACAACAGAGAAACTTCATCCACCCTCCAGCTCACTCACCTGTCAGCTCACACAGGCTTCCTAGGGCGTCGGCTTCTACTCCAGGTAATCCCTGTCTCTTGTCATTCCAGAGAAACAGCTCGACCAAAGCCACCTTGATTTCTAGATCGCCAAGTTCAGTGATGTAGGCTTGGAAATATCCTCTTTCGTTGCCTAAAAGTCCTGCTCCATTTCATTATCTTTAGTGGTTGTACCATCGAAATACATGAACACTTCATCTTGCCTTTCCTTCTGTTCACTCCTTGGGCACTATCTGCTTCACACTTTCAATATAAATAACATTTATTTGGTGCCACTCTCTTTTCTATCTTTTGCTTTTGTTTCCCGAGATAGGATTTCTCTGTATAACAGCCCTTGGCAGTCCTGGAACTCACTCTGTAGACCAGGCTGGCCTTGAACTCACAGGTTTCCACCTGCCTCTGCCTCCCGGGTGCTGGGGTTCAAGGCTTTAGGTTCTACCATTTAGAAGTATTCAGTGTGTGTGTGAAGGCAGTCGTGTACATATGCCGCTTGTGTGGAGGTCAAAAGGACAGCTTTCAGGAGTTGGTCTGTCCTTCCACCGCGTGGGCTTCTAGGATTGAATTCAGGTCTTCAGGCTTGGGGCAAGCACTTGCAGATGCTGGGCTGTCTCGCCGGCCCCTTAGCTCAGTATTCTGTTGTGGCATTCGAATCCACTGGGAAAGACCAAAGACTTGGACTCAATTCAAATTTAGCTTAAATGAGTTTATTCTTACTACTCACAGAGGATGAGCCCCAGGGGCTAAAGGAAGGGTTTATAAAGGTGGCTATCAAAGGTGTACATGGCAGTTACCTATGCAATCCATAGCTGGACAAGGACATTTACAACCTCAGTTGTTCCTCTTTCCCGTTGTACACTAATAAAAAGACCACTTTGTCCCAGTCCCACAGCGAATAGCAAGTGAACAAAAGCAGGAAGCAAAGATAGGGCACGTAAGGGATGCCTGGTACCATAGGAAGTTTCTTTGGCTATCACAGGGGAGTTATGTATAAATATTACATAGGTCTGCACACTCTGGGGGAAGTGTCACTAATTGACTGGGATAGCACAGGCAATAACACAATGCCATTAGGTTAATAGTGGCTTTCACATCCCCATAATTCTACCTTGGCCTGAAGATTTATTTTTATGTGTATTTTTAGTATTAATTTAAAATATTTTACTTTTTTTTGGGGGGTTTCGAGACAGGGTTTCTCTGTATTGTTTTGGAAGTTGTTCTGGAACTCCCTCGGTAGACCAGGCTGGCCTCGAACTCACAGAGATTCACCTGCCTCTGCCTACTACTGAGTGCTGGGATTAAAGGCATGCCACACCAACACCCCGGCTATTTTGCAACATTTTATATATATTTTAATTAATTTTTTGAGACTAGTCTCCCTATGTAACTCTACCTGTCCTTGAACTCATGTAGACCAGGCTGGCCTGTAACTCACAGAGATCTGCTTGCCTCTGCCTCCCATTGCTGAGATTAAAGTCATGGACCATTATGCTTGGCAAACATTTTATTTCTCAAAGATTGTTTATTTTATGAATAAGAGTATTTTGCCTGATGTATGTTTATATACCATATGCAGAGACCACAGGAGGTTATTATATCTCCTGAAACTGGAACTAGTCACCATGTGGATGCTGGGAATTGAACCTGTGTTCTCTGGAAGAAGAGCCAGTTTTCTTAACCACTGTGTAGCCCTGGCTGTCCTGTAACTTTGTAACCCAGGCTGACCTCAAGCTTAGAGATTCTGCTCTGACTCCTGAATGCTGGGCTTAAAGGTGCCTGCTACCACCATCCAGCAGCCCTGTGTTCTTTTCAATTGCTACATTGACCATGGGCATGCTGGTGATGTATTCTGTGTAACCATAGTGACAGATGGTCTAGTAGCAGTTTACAGGAGAAAAAATGTTTCTTCCATAATTTCCTTACCTATGGAAAATGCTGAATCGCAACAAAACTTGAATTTAGAGGAAGAGCTGGAATTTGAGCCTTGTAACCAAATCCCAGTTTTACTAGTGTTCCTGAGTTATTGCCATAACTTCTCACTTTTCAGCAGCAAAGAACAGTGCTTTCCCAGGGTCTTGCCCCTGAGCTCATTTGTCCACCCTGAACCTTCTTTCTGGTAGCTCAGTGGCCTTTTCTGAGCTCCTTTTTTCTTAGCCTCTTCCCACTAGTTCTAAGGCTTTTGCAACAGCCTGTAGGTTGACTGTTCTTACATATACCCCGTCATCTCTAATCTAAGATCCTTATTCTACATACTATGATTCTAAATAATACATGATTTTTTTTTTGAACCAGAGTCTTTTCAACCATTTTTACAACCTACACTCTCCTGAGTGACCTGGAACTTGCTTTGTAGACCAGGCTGACCTCAAACACATAGAACCTGCCTTCCTCTTCCTCCAAAGTGCTGGAATTAAAGGAACATGTTACCATGCCTAGCATAACTAGACTTGTTTTCTCTCTCAAGATTTATTTATGTGTATAAGTGTTTTATCTTAATGTATGTATGTGCATCATGTGCATGTCTGGTGCTGTTCGAGACTAGAAGAGAATGTCTGCTCTCTTGGAATTGGTGTTACAGTTGTGAGCCATTGTGTGGGTACGGGAACTGAAGCCAGGTCCTCTGCAAGAGCAGCAAATACTCTTAACTGCTGAGCTGTCTCTCCAGCTCCATAACTAGACTTTATATTTTTTAAAATTTGCATTTTGGGAATGGTTAGGTTTGGACAGGTTCTCATTATTTAATAGCCCCAGTTAAACCTTGAATTCAAATTACTCCTGCCCCTGCCTCCAATGTGTTGGGATTATAGGCATACCATCATGGCTCTTTATTCTTCCTTCCTCTTCCCCCTTCTCCCTCCCCTCCCCTCCCTCCCTCCCTCCCTCCCTCCCTCCCTCCCTCCCTCCCTCCCTTCCTTCCTTCCTTCCTTCCTTTTTTGGATACAGGGTCCTACTATGTAGCTCTGGCAGTCCTGTAACTCAGTATAGATCATAACCCTGAACTCACAGAAATCTGCCTGCCTCTGCCTCTGGAGTCCTGGGACTAAAGGTGTTTGCCACTACACCTAGCTCTTTTTTTTCTGGCACATATTCTTTATGTGAAAATGAGTAATTCTGTGGTACTAAAAATAGTGTTGTAGAGGCTGGAGAGGTGGCTCAGCAGTTAAAAACATTTGTTCTTACAGAGGAGTGGGGGGGTTCTGTTTCCAACACTCACAAGATAGCTAACAAGTGTCTTTAATTCCAGTTCTAGGGAATCTGACACCTCTTCTGACCTCTGAAGACTCCTTCATCCATGTGGTACACATACACATACTCAGGCACACATACAATTAATATTAAAAATAATGTGCTGCAGCACTTGGGAGGCAGAGGCAGGTGGATCTCTGTGAGTTCGAGACCAGCCTGGTCTACAAGAGCTAGTTCCAGGACAGTCTCCAAAGCCACAGAGAAACCCTGTCTCGAAAAACCAAAAAAAAAAAAAAAAAAAAAAAAAATGTGCTGGGCATTGCGGCACATGCCTTTAATTCCAGCACTCAGTAGGCAGAGGCAGGTGGATCTCTTGAGTTTGAGGCTAGCCTGGTCTACTACAGAGCAAGTTCCAGAATAGCCAGGACTACACAGAGAAACCCTGTCTCAACAAACAAAAAATAGTGTCATAAATGTGGAGAAAAAGATTATCTTGCAGACCTTGTTGAAGTCATGTCTCCAAGACTCAAGTTTGTAGGAAAAAGAAGTTGCACTTCCTAGATATTTAAGACCTGTGCTTCCAAGAGTGCAGTTCAGTAATAAAAAGAGATATAACTGAATTTAGAAATGGAAAGGGGGCAGTTTGCCAAAAGAAGATAATATAAATTATCGCTAATCACATGCAAATCAAAGCAACCAGGACCAAAGAAGTAGTAAGGTGGTCGAGCACTTGCCTAGTGTGTGCAGGCCCTGGGTCATCACCAGAGCCTCTGCACTGCACAAAAAAGAGACAGCAGTGAGATACACATCAGACTCACTAGGATGCCTGTAGCAAGAGGACAGCAGTGTATGCTGGCACAGATGCAGACATTCTAGAATCTCCTTAACATGCCACAGCCACTATGAAATAATCTGGCCATTCTTTGAAAGGCCAGACACAAAGTATCCAATAATTCCCCTCTTGTGCATAAACCTGGAAAAATGAAAATGTATGTCAATACAAATCTTGTATAAGCTGTGTCACTGGCTCTTTGGGTGCTGAGTTAGGTGGATTATTTCAGCCCAAAGATTTAAGGGGCCCACAAACATAGTAAACATCTTATCAGAAAACAGACTGGGTGTAGTGCCACACATATGTAAATCCCAGCACTGGAGAGGCTGAGGCAGAGCTGTGGGTTTAAGTTCATTTTGGCTTCATGAATTCAATCTCTGTCCTTACTTGAGCAAATTAACATATTAGCACGTGGTATGTAGCTATTGATCTAGCAAATGCCTTTTTCTCAGTCTGGTCCATAAGGACCACCAGAAGCAACTTGCTTTCTCTTGGCAAGGCCAACAGTATACCTTTGCAGTTTTACCTCAAGATTATATTAACTCTCCAGTCCTGTATCATAACTTAGAGGGGATCTTGATCATCTGACTCTTCTACAGCTTATTACATTGGTTACTATATTGATGATTTTGTGTGCTGATTGGAGAAGGAAATAGCAACCACTTTGAACTCATTGATGGCCCAGATGAGCGTCAGAGGATGGGAAACAAATCCAACCAAAATTCAAGGGCCTTCTACCTCCATGAAGTTCTTAGGAATCCAGTGGTGTGGGGCATGCAGAGATAGTCCTTCCTAAGTGAAGGAGAAGTTATTGGACCTGTCTCCTCCCATCACCAGGAAAGCAGCACAATGTTTATTGGGCTATTTGGATTCTAGAGACAGCACATCCTCACTTGAGAGTGTTACTTTGGCCCATATACTAAGTGACTCAGAAAGCTGCTAGCTTTGAGTGAGGCCTGGAACATTCAATCAAAAGGCAATTTAAGCAGAAGTTTATTTAGAAAAGCAGA